GGGGTGGCTGCCACGGGCAGCTCTGCCCTGCCCGCCTGCGCTGGGAGGCATCTCCATCGGTCTTTATTTAATGGCTTTGGGGAGAAGGGGAAATATTTGTCGGCAGTGGTTTTGCAAATCACCACTTTGCAGAGAGGAAATAAGAGCCATCCATTTGTGCTGGCGCTATTAAAGATTTTCTATAAAGTGCCTACATTTCCAGTGCAGCTGAATGGATTTCACTGCAGAAAACTGCTAGGACAGAGAGGCACACTGGGGGAAAATATCATATACAATGATTCACAAACACATAAAAATACCCTTCCCAGCTTGTCTATTCTTCCAGCCCGCAACAAACACCTTGTGACTCATTCTCAAATGTATGGACGCATTTGAAAATGAAAGTTGGATTTGAACATTATTCATTAAGACCTGGGATTAGTTCACTTCTCCATTTAGCTCCTGAAAGCTAGCATGCCAAGTCAGGCTAAAACACATTTTAAGGCTGTCTTGGTCACAAGACAGCTCTAACAGCCCCAGTATTTTTCTACATCAATGTTTCTGTATTCAGCTTAAAAAAACCCCAAACCTTAATTCCTTGCTCCTTGCGCTGAATTAATCAGGTATCTGAAGGTAGGGGGAGGAAAAAAAATCAACATTTTTCTTGGCAGGCACATTTAACTTGAAGGGCCGTAGCTCTTCCTGCAGACGACAAGATCGCAGTGTTTAGAAGATAAAGACAGGGGATGGAGGGCGTCCACGGAGTGACAGCCGTTTGAACTGGCAATGGCAAAAATCGAGATATTAGTACGGAGCCAGTAGGATGATTTACAGTCAGACGTTGATGCAGCATTCTTTTTACAAACACGTTCACTCCCACCTTGGAAGAACTGTTAATGAAAAGTTGCATCAGCTATTCCGACGCCTGTCGCACATAGAGACACTGCTGAACGCTGCTGGACGTCGTGGTCAGAGCTAAGGTTGGGATCAGCACCAGGGCTACGCTGCCGTCCGTGAGAACGAGAGAGGTTTACCCTTCGCTGCCGTGCACCAGGGAGCCCCGTGTTCGACGGCAGACGCCGAAGCACCTTCTCGCGGGAGCGCGGGCGCGCTGGAGAGGAGGGTGGCACAGGGAATGGCTGAAAGGACGTGAGTCGCGCAGCAAAAATGGCCCAGAGCAGATGCAATGTAGTTCACAGCTTCAACATCTGAATTTCAGGCAAGCTTGCAACTGGCACTGCGGTTCCGTGTGAGGCTGCAGCATCCTCTCCTTCCTCTGCCAACGGGGAAAAACAGCACAGCTGTGCTTACTGCTGTTGCTAGGTATATTTAGTCTCATTTAATGACAGTATGGGGCATTTTGATGCAAACATATGGACGATGCGACCACATCTCGACGATTACTCAGCTAACCGGTTGTTGTACCTACCCTTCAGATGCCTAATTCTGCATCGGGGATTGGGAATAGCCGTCCTAGGCGTGCGGGTAAGGTTTCTATTAACAATGC